TCAAAGCAGTGCTGGTGTGCCTGTTCTCGAGGACGGTGGGGTTATCTCCCTCGACCGTACGAGGATCTCCTTATACTTTGTCCAGAGCTCAAGCACGAGGAAGAAGCAAAAAGCCTGATAGTGGTTCCTGATGAGGAGCTGGTTGCTCAATATTATGGCACCGGCAACAGCTCGATCAGCTGTCGGCTGATTTTCGTGAGGTTGTTCACCACCCGAGCTATAGTTTGCCATTTTTGCAACCTGGCCGGCTTGTTAAGGTTCAACATAAGGACCTCGACTTCGGCTGGGGTGTTGTCATCAATTATCAGAAACGGCTCCCGCCAAAGGCACGTTCTTTAGTCGTACCTCGAGCGCTTTTGAAATTCCAAGCTGATTGCATTGCAGAATCAACCTGTGCCCAAGGATGATACCCCGCCTCGTGAGCAATACATAGTGGACGTCCTTTTGTATTGTACACAGGATTCTACCGTGCCGAAAGATCGCCACACGGTTACCGCTACTCCAGGCGGCGTTCTGCCCTGCCCACCGGGGCAGAAAGGCGAGCCTCTGGTTTTGCCTGTTCTGTTATCAACTCTCAACGGAATAAGCCACCTCCGAATATTCTTGCCGAAAGACCTGCGCCCGATTGGCCCACGTGAGACCGCGTGGAAAAGCGTCCTTGAGGTTCAACGCCGGTCACCGGATGGAATTCCATTCCTAGACCCAATCGAGAACATGGAAATTAAAGACGAGAAGTTTAAGACACTCGTAAAGGTGAGCGACATCCACAACGGAGTCTTCGAACTGCGATAAGATCCACCAAACTAGAAAATTCAAACAATGGAGCAGAAGATGTTTGCGAGTCCATTGCACAAGGATTCACGCTTACCAGAACTTTATGATTTGTATGCGCGGAAGCGCGCCGCACAGGATCGCGTGCGCGCGTTAAGAAAGCGTATCCAAGCAACACATGATGTTTTGCAGATGGAGGAACTCAAGTCTCGTAAACGCGTGCTTCGTAGGCTGGGTTTCACGACAGCAGATGATATTGTAGACGTTAAGGGTCGTGTTGCATGTGAGATCAGCACAGGCGACGAGCTGCTGCTTACCGAGCTCATTTTCAACGGAGTATTCAACGGGTTGCCGCCAGAGCATTGTGCAGGGTTGCTGAGCTGCTTTGTCTTCACCGAGAAGGTCCGTCGTACCCTTAAAAGTGTAGCCGAGTTCATATGTTAATATTGTACAGAGTGAACATCCAACCAAGCTGAAGGAGGAGCTTGCAGCACCTTTACGTATTATGCAGGACGTCGCACGTCGCATTGCCAAAGTCTGCAAGGAGTCTAAGTTACCGATTGTAGAGGAAGAATACGTTCAATCGTTCAAAGTCGAGCTTATCGACGCAGTTGTACAATGGTGCCGGGGAGCATCGTTCTCGGACATCTGCAAGGCAAGCGCTTTCTCGACAGTGCTAGTCTCTCCCAGGGTAGTTGATTTTGGTTGCGCCACCCTCAGCTTACAGATCAGTTCGAGGGCAGCCTCATTCGCGTCTTCCGGCGGTTGCAAGAGCTCATTCGACAGATGGCCCAGGCTGCGAAAGTCATTGGCAACGTTGAGCTACAAAAACAGTTCGAAAAAGCATCCGAGATGCTTGAGCGACCAAACTCGGTCATCTTTGCCTCGTCATTGTATCTTTAAGTCATCTGTCGTTGCAACATCCTTTTCATTTTTTTCTTGAGCTCGAAAGCAGCATGTGTGAGTTAACTAGAGAGACAGAATGGTAGTACATCAAACTTCCTTCCTTTCCTTGAACGTGGAGAGATTTCTTCAGCACGGCCCACTATCGGTCCAAACACCGGCTACAAGCCAGATCAGCTAGATTTATAACAGTTGCGCATAAAACGCACCAGAACCGCCCGGAACGTCCGCCTGCGTCCACCACTTTGCAGTCCACAGGTGGGCGTCTGCAAGAAATTTTAATGCAGAGGCCTTTATACGGACCATCAGTAAAATGCTTACTATAGGTGACCGTCTGGCCGCCGTTGTAGGCGATCTGATAAGGAAAATCAATATATGGCAAGGTGAGAGCCTACAAGCTAAAATGTACAGCAGAGCTCCAAGCAGCCACACTCGCACACGCTCCCGAGCTCGGTATAGTGGACGTAGATGACGGCGTTGATGATGTTGAGGAGGGCGTAGAGCTAGGCGCGCTCGTCGTGCTCGAAGATGTTCCTTGGCCCATGTTGCTGCGGATATTGTCCCACTTGCTATTTGGATAACTGCCAACACATTAATTGAGTGCAATTTAGGCAGTGTGCGACCCTTAACTTTATGTGGTTCTGTGATTCAAGGGGCGATTAGGTGGGCGATCAGATTTCGAGGATGAGGAGCGTACTAGCGTCTGGTCAAGGCTCCCGTAAACCCCGGCAGTAGTGCCAACCAGCGAGTTTGAGCCTGTTTTATCCGTGGACAACTGAAGTAGATGTTCAACTATTATCAATGTCCCAGGATTTGAGGCACATACATCCCAGAACATGGACCCAGCGAGGCCTTTCTCTTGGACATATTTTGCCTTCAAAGTAGCGATATTGGGCGTATCGTACGAGACGAGCTCCTGACTAGTTGGATTGTACGAATAGCTGGTCACGTCCGTGGTGTTCTCAAACACCTGGGCACCAGTGAGTGGCAGAACGGAATACGAATAGATGCCCGCTTCGAACGTCCCCGGTCCGACCTGTTTGCCAAAGAGGTGCTAGTCAGCCTGCTCGGTGGATCACGGTGAATACGCGTACCCCATTGTATGGCGCGCCGAGACCGGCAGTGTTGTCGAACGCACGCCCGTACAGTGGAATGCCTTTGCGAACGAGTAATCAGAGTATGTTTAGCGGTGAATCTGACCCTCATATCCCACCCATGTTGATCTTCGAGACTGTTGCACCCTGCGAGAGATACCACTTGATTGCATTATCAGTGCTGACGTTTGTTCGTCCGCCACCGTAAAGGTTAGCCTGGTTGTCCGCCTGTGGACGAGAAACGCTTAGTAGATAATATACATCGAGAAAACAGACGATACCGACCCAGGTCAACCAGGAACCCGCATAGTCATACGCCTAAGTAAATCATAAATAGGTCCATTAGCTTACAAGAGTACAAGGTAAGTTGGCGCTTCATGCCATCAAGTTCCAGTAGGTTAGAGCAGAGTCCATCTGTGGGACAACGAGACTGGCGTAGTTCGCGGAACCAGCGGAGACGGCCGCCTTGGGTGAGGAAGTGATGAATATCGATGAGGCCCAGAGATATACGAGCAATGCTCACGGTAAGCTGATAGGGAACGGTGTCTCCATTGGTCTTTGCGAGGGTGTCCAGCGCTGCGCGTAATTCTGTGAAAAGGTTAGCAAAGCCTTGGCCTTGGGCGGTGCCGCTAGGGTATTCAAAATCGATATCACTGCAATTAAGATAAGTCCTACCATACCACACGTTCCCAAGAATGAGAGTTGGGTAACGTACATTCCGTCGAATCCGTAGTCTCGGATCAGTTGGATAGCGCTACTGACAAACGTTGCACGCAGACTTGGGCTGGTGACGAAGGAGAAGTGTCCGTCTTGGGAGTATGTCCAACCACCAACAGAAAGAAGAACCTTAAGGTTTCTAAGGGCACGGCTAAGATAAGATAAGATAAGATAACAGCGATCCCATTTACCTATGTGCTAATTTAAGAAGGTACAGCTTGAGACGGAGTCGAGCATTTGTCAGTGAGAACGAGGAGACGAAGGGAAACCTACCTGCTTCAAGCAGCCGTAAAGATTGTTCCCCGGTTCACTCCAAGAGTCACCAGGAAAGTGTTTCTTGAGATAGCTGTGAAAGCCGATTAATTCTACAAGCGGGAGAAGCTTACCTGTTCATCTGCATAGGAATCCGTGAGAAAGATAGAACCGGTGGTCGGAGTCACATCCGCAAATGCATATACAATGTGTGTAAGGTCGGAGGGGGTGATATCGGTAGGTTCTTGGAGACAGTAACATCAGACTCCCTCAGTGATAATATAGGGGATTCACATACGGAAATTTGCTCCATATATGCCCCTTAGAACTGTCAAGATCACGACGGAAACAAACGAGACCGATAGAGGACGGACCAATTGGTAAAATAAGCAGCTTGGACCTTTCCAGTAACACGTTTCTGAACGGTATTTGTCGTGAAACTTTTAGGGGAGGTGAACGGCCGACCCATAGCTTGGGTTGCGTTGGCCAATATGCCCACGGTGAGCAAAACTGACACAAAGACCACCGCGCGGATGAGGAGCGAGTTCGTCTGCATGGGCAAAAGATATACGCAAAGGAAAGCGCATCTGGATCGCCTGTCCTGTACCGCAACTTATACTGAATGGTGAACACGAGTCCCGTGCCCTATCTACGGCAAGCAAAACGGGACCACCACCGCAGAATTTATTGACCACCAGGTCAAGAGGGTCAGCTCCTTGTCGCGTGTTCGTGCGCCCCATGTGCAACTCTCCAAGAGAAGATACAGGCGGGTCTGGTGGTACGGAGGGTCTCCTGTAGCCCTCAGGCAACTTCATAGGGAAAGAGTGGGTGGCCATATGGAAAGAAAAAGCGAGCATGTGAGATAGCCAAATAATAGGTAGTACGTGAGCTTCGTGATAAGCAGTTACATGGGAGCATGCGGGAGGCTTTTCCCGATGTGGACCTCGAGTTTGGTCGAGTACACAGAGTGGAACTTGATGTAGTATTAGATGCAAACAGGACGCCAGTTAAGGAGATGGCTCATAGGGTTTGGGATGTCCATTAAATTTCAGAGTCTCGATGAGCTAGCTGTATTAAAATAAATTTATAATGAAGGATGGGATGGAAGAAGCTTCTTACTTCTCGGGCCAACTTGACGGTAAAAGTGCCAGTGGGTGCCAGTGCCAGTGCCACTGCCCTGCCAGCGAAGCAGACAGCAGACAAAGAAAAGAATTGGAATGAGATGGAATGAGATGTAGAGGTAATCTGGTTAAATATTTTCAATCCCTGGTAGTATATCGGATTAGTACACGCGCCTGTCAATTTAATTGGTCGCGCGAGAGCGGGGTTCGACTCCCCGCCAGGGAGTTTTTATTTTATTTTATTTTAATTTTTAATATGATTTTATGATATCTACTAGGCCACGTGTTAATGGGGGTTACGCAATTGAGTGAGCGGCTATCATTTATTATCACATCTCACATCACATCACATCACATCACATCTCATCACATCTCATCACATCACAAACTCGCAACCTCTCAACTTGCGATTAAGCTCACTTGCGTCAAGATCAATGACGATAAATGGTCCCGAATAGACACTCATGATATAGATAATTTAATAGAAAATGGAAATAACATGTCCTCCTTCGTCTGGCAGGTATGCATACATCCCAAGTTAGGGTCAGATCATTTTTCGTTTCATTCAGCTGACCGCTGACCATTTCCCAGCTCCAGCCCCAGCCTATATAATTCCCTCCTACATTCCTTACTTTTCTTCTTCTCTCCCACCCTTCCTTTTCTTCCAATCCCAACATGCCTTCCAAGCAAGTCACTAACAACGACAACGCCTTATACACCACCTCCAACGGTGCTCCTGTCGCTCGTCCCTATGCCGCTGAGAAGATCGGCGTACACGGTCCCCTTCTTCTTCAAGGTCCGTGCCGCCCACCCATGACTCAGCTGACTGACTTCTTCCCCTGCCGATTAGACTTCCATCACATTGACCTCCTTGCTCACTTCAACCGTGAGCGCATTCCCGAGCGTGTCGTCTGTACCTTCTTTGTTTTGTTTACGCTCACCCTTCTATCCACCTTACCTTTTTCTATACTTGAATTTTTAAGGTCCATGCGAAAGGCGCTGGCGCGCATGGTTACTTTGAACTAACTCACGACATCACCGACCTTACCTCCGCTTCTCTTTTCAAAAAAATTGGAAACAGGGCCCGCACCACCATTCGTTTCTCCACAGTGGGTGGTGAGTCTGGCTCGGCCGATACTGCCCGTGATCCTCGCGGCTTTGCCATTAAGATTCGCACCGACGATGGTAACCTCGACTGGGTCTTCAACAACACCCCTGTCTTCTTCCTTCGCGACCCCGCCAAGTTCCCCCACTTTATTCACACCCAGAAACGCGACCCTCAAACCCATCTCAAGGATGCTGACATGACCTGGGTAAGTTTGACCATCTCTACGATCCGCTACCTCCACCCGTTTCCAATGTCGTCGAATATATCCCATCACAAGTACTTATCTAGCATTTCTCAGGATTATTTTTCTCAGAATCCTGAGAGCATTCACCAGATTTTGATCCTCTATTCCGACCGCGGCACTCCCGATGGTTATCACAACATGCATGGTTACTCTGGCCATACTTTCAAGTTTGTGCGTGACGATGGCGAGTGGGTCTATGTTCAGGTCCACCTTCGTGCAGACGGTGGATTCAAGGTAACCGCAGGACAATTTACAGATCTAGAACAGACTGCTGACCATGCTGACACCAGACTCTTGACAGTGCGACAGCTGGCAGGCTTGCAGGAGAGAATCCAGACTATGGCATTCAAAAGTTGTTTGAGGCCATCGAGAATAAGCAATATCCCTCGTGGACTGTCTATGTGGTAAGTGTTCATGATGGCCCCCTTTTATCTCACGAGCCGTCAGACTGAGACCCTCCTGCCTTAGCAAACGATGACGCCGGAACAGGCGGAGCAATTCCGATACAACGTTTGGACTTGACCAAAGTGTGGCCTCATAAGGACTTCCCTCTCCGCCCCGTTGGCAAGATTGTACTGGATGAGAACCCGCAGAACTACTTTGCAGAGATCGAGCAGGCCGCATTCTCTCCATCCCACATCGTACCTGGCATCGAGCCCAGTGCTGACCCTGTCCTACAAAGCCGGTTGTTCTCTTACCCAGACACTCACCGCCACCGTCTTGGCGTGAACTATCAGCAACTGCCTGTTAACGCTCCCGTCGTGCCTGTTGCGAACTTCCAACGCGATGGTGCCGGGACCTTCGTCAGCCAAGGAGCTCGTCCTAACTACCAGAGCACCATTTCCTCCTTGACTTACCGCTCAAAGCCTTATGCTGATACGGAGCACAAGCACGAACTTTGGGCTGGCCATGCCCGCGCGCATCTGCATGAAATCACTGAGCGTGGGTACCTCGCCCTTCATATCTACCGTGTTTCTGATGCATGTGTTCTCATAGTTGATTTTGAGCAACCTCGCAATCTATACACGAAGGTCCTGAGCCAGTCGGACCGTGAGCACCTCATCAACAACATCGCAGAGGCCCTGGGTGCAGTCAAGTCAACTGAAATCAAAGCACGCCAGCGTATGTCTTTTTCAATAATCTTTCTAAAAAGCGTTTGACGTTGTCGCAGTTGCTATTTTCGCTGCGGTAGACCAGGGCCTTTCTGATGCCATCGCCAAGGCCATTGGAGTGCCGACCGTCCAACCCCTCGTGGTTGCATCTGCAGATGAGGCTGTACCCCTGAAGACTAATGTTGGCCAGACAACAGTTAAAGTCGCGTGAAGAAGTTGAATATCCCTCAAACAAAAGAAATGTATTAGCCGTGACTGGTTTTTGAATATGACTCATAAAGGAAACTCTCAGCCATCACTGGTTGTTTGGATGTTTTTAGCACCCGCTCGAAGGAAGAAAAAAGAATTACCCAGTGCTTTTTTAATCTGACATTTCACTTTTCACGAGTGCTCCTTCAGGTGGGATTGCAGGTCTGGCAAGTCCATCTATAAGTACTGCAAGCTTAGTCATTGAACTTTCTTTCTACGATTATTCGCGGAAATCCAGGAATGGGTCCCACACGATGCAGGGCCCATCCTGTAAACGAACGAGATGCTCAGTGAAAACGCATTTGGCATGTAAGTTTCGTGGCCTCACTGTAGAAAGAGGATCAACAAGCTCAATAAAGTTGTCTGGGTCCACGTTTCCGTGGTATGCGATCTTCGCAAGTGTAGGAATGAGGGCAACACCAAGCAAGCCAGGCTCATATGCGTGCCAATTGGCTACCGGAGGCGCGTCCTCTGGGTTCTTGGCGAAATTCGCGAATGCGGTCTGGAGGTTTTGCGACAGTTGGGCCTCTGCAGATGTGGCTGTTGACTGGTTGAAGGTTCCGAAGAGAATGGGTACTAGTAAGATATGGATACGTTCAAGTCCCCCATGGTGACAATGTTGGAGCACATCTGGAGACTTACGTTCTGAGCCGTGCCAAGCCCCTGCATTGGGAAAAGGTTGCATATCGGCGAAGACGGCGCCTAAATAAAAATAAATAAACAACTGGGCGAGGTGGCGCCTGGGTTCAAGCATCGGGGGGACCCACCGTATGTGTATCGGTATACGCTCTTTATTCCACTTGAGACAAAGGCGTCACTCCACAGTTTTGCTGGGCTTTTTGAGTGTACAATCATTATTCTCTCCCTTTTTTCCCTACGTAACGTAGGCCGGGAGAAGAACGCACCAACGGGACCCACGTCACGCTCAACAGCAGCGATCACCTGCGGGTCACTCAACCCAGGGTACAACGCCCGCACAGCAGGGGGCAATAAAAGACCTCCGACTGGGCCGAGTTGCTCCGCAATAAAAGCTGAGAGATTTTGCGGCCCATTCAAGGCGGATACTGTACCATCACCTTCCATGCTTCCAATCAGGATGGGTATTGGCGCAATCTGGCCCGTACGGATGCGTTGCAATGGATCGCCGAAGGTTGTCACGCTACCAACCCAGAGGTATCATATAGGTATTCATTATAGGCAAAAAAAAAAGGATACGTACTTGTCGACACCCGGAGTAAATCCGCCACTATTGGGCCCGTTAGTATACGAGCGTATGGTAGACGCGGGGACATTGCGTAGGCACTGCAGACGCTGGGGACCTGGTGGCTGCATACATCCAAGCGCGGTCGCCAACGCATTGAAATTCGAGAAATTGAGGTGAGGAGAAGTGGAAACTTGGACACCGGATAGCATGATGCCCGCACGGAATGGCCGGGTAGCAGATGAGTTCCGGCGAGTAATGGCAAGTGAGACGGACCCGGACCCGGCTGAGTGGCCCTGCAAATGCAGACGTCAAGTCTTTGTGGCAGGCTTTTCTTTACAACCCGGAGAGACCGCACATACCATGATTGTTACCTGATTTTTGTCTCCTCCAAACTTGGCAATGTTATCTTGTACCCATGCGAGTGCAAGCTCTTGATCGAGAAAGCCGAGGTTGTTCCCTGAGGCGGGAAGGTCTGGCGCAGTTGGGAAGCCGAACACGTTAGTGCGATAGTTCAAGGAGACAAAAATGATGTCCTGATTTTTTGCAAAAGATGCGCCATCGTACGTTGGAAGTGATGCTGTGCCGAATACAAAGCCTCTATTTGAGAGACAGCGCTCAGTGGGCTAGCCGGCTAGCCTCCGAAGGAGAAATAAGTTCTTACTTACTTACCCGCCATAGAACCAGACAATAACGGGTTTCAAAGGCCCAGACATAGGGGCTGGTGCCCAGACATTTCTACGGTGCTGCATTTGGGCTGCATTCCTTTTTAAAGAGGCATACACGACCAGACTTACAAAAAGAGGCAGTCCTCGTCTTCGGGTGGTGCGTGCGGATTATAAAGTTGCTCGATGAGGGCCTGTCCTTGGAAGGGAAATTGTTGAACGCATGAAGGTCCCAAGGAAGTCGCATTCTGGATGTCGGAAGACAAAAAAGTGACGGGTGGCTCCCAACGTAGATTGCCAATAGGCGAGTGTGCAAACCGCTACATCAATCAATGATATTTGGTCAGTCATCGTATCGTAAGGAGACCAGTGTATAAGGCGTCTCACGATGCCTTTGAAAGAAGCCACTAATATAGTGCGTTTCTTTGAGTGAATGTGACAATTACCAAGGTGAGTGAAAGCATACCTCCGTCATCTTGGGTACCTGTTAATTGACCGGACGTGGTATTTATGGTGATAGTTTGAGAGAGGGCATGGGCGATGAGGAAGGGAATCACAGCTATGAACCTCATTGTAAGACGGATGATGGGATCTCATAAGTGTCTGCCTCAGTTAGTCTCCTTTTATAAGGAGAAATGGTGATGGCG